ATTATCATTATAAGAGGTTTTATCTCTATTGGTTCCTCCATATTAAACCTCTTTTTTTTAGTAAAACATTCTAGTTCTACTGTAATAGATAATATAGTAGAAAGAAATAGATTTGATTTCTTTCTACTATACTAGGATTTAATATAATTCTGCTTGTTGTAGTCTGATCATTTTCTTAAAAAACAAAAGACCCGAAATAGAAATTCTTTTTCCATTTTTTTCTTCCATCATTGCATTTATAAGAAGTCATGTTTCAGTAAAATTTAGTCACTTTAACTTACCGTTTTTACAAAAATTATAAGTAAAAAGGCAGTAGGAACTAAAATGAAGAGTGCAGTAGCTATAAATGCGAGAATGTTTACTTCCATAATCTCTATGTTTTATTTCTCTTTAATTTATAATAAATACTTTGGGATTTAATCCCATAGAAATGAAAAATCTTTCTTCACTAAATTCAATGGGATAAATTGGATCTCGATGATATCAAATCGGATCAATATCACGAATAACAATATCTGAGCTATCAAATCAATAATTCATGGTCGAGAATTTCATAGTATAACATCGGAAGATGTTTTATCCATACCAAACCAAATAAGAAAATGACTTGCTGATGCAATCAAAAAGTCCTTTTTCTTTCTTTGTCTGAACCTTTCCCTTAAACTAAAAAAGAAAGAAAAAGGGGGATACCTGTTTGAAATGATATTTTTATATTTTTATTCCCTTTCATACACGAAATCAATTGATATTTTTTGGATTTGTATCAATCGGGACTGACGGGACTCAAACCCGTAGCTTCCGCCTTGACAGGGCGGTGCTCTGACCAATTAAACTACAATCCCAGGGAAAAAGTCGTCTAGTATACACACATATTCTTAAAAAATCAATCAGTCAAGGATACAAAAAAGACAATTTTTTTCTTTTTTGACTTGAACCCTTTCCTTCGACTTTATACTTACAGATCCCAATAGGTGTTTTGCAAAATCTGAATTTGTGGAAAAAAAATATGTAAGTAGTCTGGAAAAAAGACATAGGACTCAAGATTATAATCTTATGTATGCGAACCCATTGGTGATTTTTAGAGAACACCAAATGGGTTATATCATTTCATGGTAGATCCCGAAATATTTTTGGGCCGAGCTAGATTTGAACCAGCGTAGACATATTGCCAATGAATTTACAGTCTGTCCCCATTAACCGCTCGGGCATCGACCCAGGAAGAATTCGTTTTAGTCTTTCTTGATAATCCCTCGTCCATTTCCTTTCGTAGTACCCTACCCCCAGAGGAAGTCGAATCCCCGTTGCCTCCTTGAAAGAGTCGGATTGCTAATAATGAGTTTACTCTATTCGAATGATAATAGTGGAATCGCTAGTACAAAGTCAAAAAAGTATTCCATTCCGTCATAACACCGTTGATGAAACATCCAATTAGAACATCTAGCAAGTTCTTATCAGATTCGGAGTAGAATTGATAAATTTTCAGCATAAATAAAAAATATCCTTAAAAGTAGTAAGGTAATGAATCATACTAATAGGTTGGAATACAAAGACCTATTTTTATCCCCCCCCCCCCCATTTCATTTTATTTAAGTAAAAAATAAAGAATCAAGATAAATTCCTTTGCATACTCTTATTTGCATCTATTACTTCAATTTGATCTAATAATCCTTATTGTGTCCCGGTTCGTTCTCTAAAACAATTGGAAAACATCCTATTAAATTCTTTTACTATCGATTACCCAAAAGAAAGAGTTTTATTTTTCTTAGAATGGAAATGAAATCAAATGGAATGAAATTTTTTTTTGAATTGGATGAAATGAAAATGAAATTCATAGTAAAAAAAATAATATGAATATCATTAAATTCAATAAATAAATAAAAACTGAAATCGAATTAGATATTCAATTTCATTAATCTATGGAAAAAATGCAGAAGCATTCATATATTTTACATACGTTTGTATATACGGTTTTTCTTCAATCCCTTCAACAACTAAAAATGGAATTATATTCCATGTCCTACCTATCCTTATCCAATCTAATTCAAGACCCAATCAGTAGACGGACACTACAGTAGTAGTAGAGTGAAAAGACTTTCATTTCAAGATTGATCTATTCCTTTTCATCTCCCTACTCTAATTAATTTTTCCTTGAATTCGAGACGCAAAGATTTAAAGCATTTTAGAGAACAAATCTAGCGATGCATAGAATTTTGAATCAAATAAGTCTCAAGAACTATGTCCCTACACTTGCTTCCCATTGGAAAAAATACTAAGTTTCTGTATCAACAAAATGGAAGAAACCCTTTTTGATTCTCTTGTCGATCAGGAGACACCCGGATTTGAACTGGGGAAAAAGGATTTGCAGTCCCCCACCTTACCACTCGACCATGCCTCCAAAATGATACAAAAAAGTAGATCAGATATCCTCCTCTCAACAAAACCAACGTATACCTTTTTAGTAAAAAAAGTAAAAATTTCGGGACAAATAGCAACTGTTAACTACAAATTCTGGAAGAATTCAGGAATCTGAATTTCTTAATGAGAAAAAAATCGATATATATATATATATATATATATATATATATATATATATATATATATATATATATATATATATATATATATATATATATATATATATATATATATATATATATATATATATATATATATATATATATATATATATATATATATATATATATATATATATATATATATATATTATAATCCTTATCTATTTCCATTATAATAGGAATTGTTAATATATGTCAACCCCATAATATCACTTTTCATTGTTACACATTATATAATTGGGTATTTTCTATGTAATTATGGATTACAGGGAATTTTCATAAATTCTCGTACTTTCATTTTTTTTGCCAATTTTTCATGAAATAGATTGATGAATGAATAGAAAAAATGAACACAACATATTTTGTCCCGAACAAATAGGACTACAATAACGTAATAGACATATATAGATAGCTATAGCTGAAGTTGGATCTATGCATGTTTCATAAATCCAAGTCTTTTTATGCACTGCAATCCTCTCATTCTAAAAAAAAAGGGTCAAAATATCTCTTCTTTGTTAATTTTCATTCTTTTTTGAACACTTGAAATGGTAAAGGGCTCAAAAAAATTGTATATTTTTTCTGATTATTTTCTTTTTAAAATCTTTCTCTCATGGAGCCAATCAAATTCTGAATTGATTTTTGGGGTATCAATCGAATTGGAATATGTAATATCATACTCTACTAAAAGTCTATTTGTTTGTTTTGTTGCAAATTCTAATTTGAGTAGCAAAATTCCTCTTTTCATAATGCGTATTTCATAGACGTAGTGAGGTGATTTTTGATGTGATTCAGTAAAGTAAAAAGAACATAAATTCCATTATTGCTAAATATATTCATGTGATTCAATGAAGAATGACAGCAAATCATGAGATATTTTCTATAAAATAAAAAAGGGGTAATAAAAAAGGCTTGGGGCTGGGAATGAAGGAATGTCTACAGTACCGGGATTAAATCAAATACAATTTGAAGATTTTTGTAGATTCATTGATCGGGGCTTAACCGAAGAACTTTTGAAGTTTCCAAAAATTGAAGATACAGATAAGGAAATTGAATTTCAGTTATTTGCGGAAACATATCAATTGGTAGAACCATCAATATAAGAAAAAGATGCTATATATGAATCACTTACATATTCCTCTGAATTATATATATACGCGCGGGAGTAATTTGGAAAAACAGTCGGGATATCCAAGAACAAATTATTTTTATTGGAAACATTCCTCTAATGAATTCCATGGGAACTTTTATAGTAAATAGAATATACATAATTGTAATCAATCAAATATTGCAAAGCCCCGGTATCTATTATCGGTCAGAATTGGACCATAACGGAATTTCAGTCTATACTGGCACAATAATATCAGATTGGGGAGGAAGATTAGAGTTAGAAATTGATAGAAAAGCAAGGATATGGGCTTGTGTAAGTAGGAAACAGAAAATATCTATTCTAGTTCTATCATCAGCTATGGGTTCAAATTTAAGTGAAATTCTTGAGAATGTTTGTTACCCCCGAAATTTTCTTGTCTTTCCTCAATGAAAAGGAGGGGGAAAATAAGGTCAAAAGAAAATGCCATTTTGGAGTTTTATCGACAATTTGCTTGTGTAGGAGGAGATCCCATATTTCCTGAAGATGTACGGAATTACAAAAAAAAATCAACAAAGATGTGAATTAGGAGGAATTGGGCGGTGAAATATGAACCGAAGGCTGAATATTAATATACCCGAGAACAATACATTTTTGTTACCGCGAGATATATTGACAGTTGCGGATCATTTGATTGAAATGAAATTTGGAATGGGTACACTTGACGATATCAATCATTTGAAAAATAAACGTATTCGTTCTGTAGCAGATCTCTTACAAGATCAATTTGGATCGGCTCTCGTTCGTTTTGAAAATCTAATTAGAGGAACTATATATGGAGCAATTAGATATAAATTGACACCGACTCCTCAGAATTTAGTGATTTCAACGCCATTAACAACCACTTATGAATCTTTTTTTGGATTACATCCATTATCTCAAGTTTTAGATCAAACCAATCCATTGACCCAAATAGTTCATGGAAGGAAATTGAGTTCTTTGGGTCCTGGAGGATTAACGGGGTGAACTGCTAGTTTTCGGATACGGGATATCCATCCTAGTCACTATGGACGCATTTTTCTAATTTACACCTCTTAAGGAATCAATGTCGGACTTATTGGATCCTTGGCAATTCACACAAGGATTGGTCATTGGGGGTCTATAGAAAGTCCATTTTATGAAATTTCTGAGAGATCAAAAAGAATATGAATGCTTTCTTTATCACCAAGTAGAGATGAATACTATATGGTAGCGACGGGAAATTTTTTAGCACTGAATCGAGGTATTCAGGAGGAGCAGATTGTTCCAGCTCGATACCGTCAAGAATTTCTTACTATTGCATGGGAACAGGTTCATCTTCGAAGTATTTTTCCTTTCCAATATTTTTCTATTGGAGCTCCCTCATTCCTTTTATCGAGCATAATGATGCGAATAGAGCTTTAATGAGTTCTAATAGGCAACGTCTAGCAGTTCCTCTTTCTCGGTCTGAAAAGTGCATTGTTGGAACTGGATTGGAACGCCAAGTGGCCTTAGATTCGAGAGTTCCCGCTATAGCCAAACACGAGGGAAAGATCGTTTATAATGATACTGAGAAGATTATTTTATTTGGAAGTGGGAATGGTCTAAGTATTCCATTAATTATATATCAACGTTCCAACAAAAATACTTGCATGCATCAAAAATCCCAGGTTCATAAGGGTAAATGTGTTAAAAAGGGACAAATTTTAGCAGATGGTGCTGCTACAGTTGGTGGTGAACTCGCTTTGGTAAAAAACGTATTAGTAGCTTATATGCCATGGGAAGGTTACAATTCTGAAGATGGTGTACTCATTAGTGAGCGTCTGGTCTATGAAGATATTTATACTTCTTTTCACATACGGAAATATGAAATTTAGACTCATGTGACAAGCCATAGTCCTGAAAGAATCACTAATAAAATTCCACATCTAGAAGCGCATTTACTCCGAAATTTAGACAAAAATGGAATTATAATTCTGGGATATTGGGTAGAAACGGGCGATATTTTAGTGGGTAAATTAACGCCTTAAATGGAAAAAGAATCCTCATATGCCCCGGAGGTAGATTATTACGAGCTATATGGGATTCAGGTATCCATCTCAAAGGAAACTTGTCTAAAACTACCTATAGGTGGTAGGGGCCGAGTTATTGATGTGAGATGGCTCCACAAAAAAGCGGATTCTAGCTATAATCCAGAAACAATTCATATATATATTTCACAGAAACGTGAAATCAAAGTAGGTGATAAAGTGGCCGGGAGACATGGAAATAAAGGTATCGTTTCAAATATTTTGTCTAGACAGGATATGCCTTATTTGCAAGATGGAAGACCCATTGATATGGTCTTCAATCCATTAGGGGTCCCTTCTCAAATGAATGTAAGACATATATTAGAATGTTCACTCGGATTAGCTGGGAGTATGCTAAATAGACATTATCGAATATCACCTTTTGATGAGAGATATGAACAAGAGGCTTCCAGAAAACTTGTGTTTTCTGAATTATATGAGGCCAGTAAAGAAACATTGAATCCATGGATATTTGAACCGAGTATCTGGGAAAGAGAAGAATATTTGATGGAAGAACGGGGAATCCTTTTGAACAGCCCGTTATAATATGAAAGCCTTATATCTTGAAATTAATTCATCAAGTTGATGATAAAATACATGGATGTTCCAGTGGACCTTATGCACTTGTTACACAACAACCCCTTAAAGGAAGGGCCAAACAAGGAGGACAACGGGTAGGCAAAATGGAAGTTTGGGCCCTCGAGGGATTCGGTGTTGCTCATATTTTACAAGAGGTGCTTACTTATAAATCTGATCATATTAAAGCTCATCAAGAAGTACTTGGAACTACAATTAGTGGAGGAACAATACCGAAACTTGTGGATGCTACAGAATCTTTTCGATTGCTCGTTCGCGAACTACGATCTTTGGCTCTGGAATTGAATCATTTCCTTGTCTCTGAGAAAGACTTTCAGATTCAAAGGAAGGAAGTTTAATTGGAGTGAATCCGAAATTTTATTTTATGATTGATCAGTATAAACATCAACACCTTTGAATTGGATCAGTTTCCTCTGAATAAATAAGTGCTTGGGCAAAAAAATCCTACCTAATGGAGAAACAGTTGGGGAGGTAACAAAACCCTATACTCTTCATTATAAAACCAATAAGCCTGAAAAAGATGGATTATTTTGTGAAAGAATTTTTGGTCCTATAAAAAGTAGGATTTGTGCTTGTGGAAATTATCGAGTAATCAAAGATAAACAAGACCAACCTTAATTTTGTGAACAATGCGGAGTAGAATTTATTGATTCTCAGATACGTAGATATCAAATTGGGTATATCAAATTAGCATGTCCAGTAACCCATGTGTGGTATTTGAAACGTCTTCCTAGTTATATCGTGAGCCTTTTAGATAAACCTCTTAAAGAATTAGAGGGTCTAGTATATTGTGATGTGTGATTTGATAAAAATTCTTATTGTACAGATTTCGAATGAAAAACTGTCATTCCATTCAATTAAATTGGAATGTCCTATATCTGGCATTTCTCTTGGGATGAGTAACATGAAGCTCAGAATTCAATTCATGGGTGTATTGAATACTCCCAATAAGGGAGTTGGTCTATGGTCAATTCAGTAACAAAAAACTCTTTATACTGTATGTACCTTGTAAAAAAAATACTTTTTTGTGGAATTCATTATTCCATCTCTTTTTTATATATTTTAAAAGAACTAAAATTATGTTCAAAGAATAAAATATATCATGATTGCAGAAGTTTATCTATCGCATATAGGCTTTAAGACATCGTGGCATACCCGTCGAGGTGACGTGTTGAACTAAAAGATCAAACGGTATGATACAGAGACAAAGAAATCTTTTATGAAGTCGAAGATATTCCTTTTTTATTAAGAATTTTAATTTAGAGGATTCCTCATTCGAAGGGAGGTAGACTACTCAAGAATTTTACATTTTATTTCTGTCGGAATTTCGAATTGCATAAAAAATTCAGAAAAAACGAAGAATGTATCAATGAAATGTTGCTTGGTCTTTATTGATAACTTGAGTCAAGAGTAAACCTTTTTTATTTTATATTTTAGATTAGAGGTTTTCAAAATTTTGAAAGCGGAAACCCCTTTCTTTATCTTTAATTGTGTGTAAATACTTTAGCCGGATGAGAGGAAACCATTTACCGATTTTCAAAGGGGGAGATCCGTCTTATTGGATCCTATCCAAAATTTTCTTTTGCTAGGCCCGTAGTTAAAAAACCAACTTTCTTACGATTACGAGGTTCATTCGACTATGAAATCCAATCCTGGAAATACAGTCTCCCACTCTTTTTTGCTACTCAAGGTTTGGAAACATTTCGAAATAGAGAAATTTCTAGTGGAGCGGGTGCTATACGAGAACCGTTAGTTGATCTAGATTTAAGAATGATTATGGATTCTTCATTGCTAGAATGGACAGAATTAGGAGAAGAGGGGTCCACTGACAATGAAAATGAATGGGAAGATCAAAAAGTTGGAAGAAGAAAGAATTTTTTGGTTCGACGCATGGAATTAGCTAAGCATTTTATCCGAACAAATATAGAACCATAATGGATGGTATTATGTCTCTTACCAGTGCTTCCTCCCAAATGAGACCAATTATTCAAATAGATTGCGGTAAACTAATGAGTTCGGATATTAATGAACTCTATAGAAGAGTTATTTATCGGAACAATACTCTTATTAATCTATTAACAACACGTAGATCTACACCAGAGGAATTAGTAATGTGTCAAGAAAAATTGGTACAAGAAGCCGTGGATACACTTCTTGATAATGGAATCCGCGGACAACCAATGAGGGACGGTAATAATAAAGTTTACAAATCGTTTTCCGATATAATTGAGGGCAAAGAGGGAAGATTTCGAGAGACTCTTCTTGGAAAATGAGTTGATTATTCGGGGCATTCTGTTATTGTCGTAGGTCCATCACTTTCATTACATCGATGTGGATTGCCTCGCGAAATAACAATAGAGCTATTTCAGACGTTTCTAATTTATGGTTTAATTCAAAACCATTTTGCTTCGAACATAGGAGTTGCTAAGAGGAAAATTCGGGGAAAAGAACCCATTGTATGGGAAATACTTCAAGAAGTTATGTGGGGGCATCCAACATTGCTGAATAGAGTGCCTACTTTGCATAGATTGGGCATACAGGAATTTCAACCTATTTTAGTCGAAAGACGTGCTATTTGTTTACATCCATTGGTGCGTAAGGGATTCAATGCAGACTTTGATGGGGATCAAATGGCTGTTCATGTGCCTTTATCTTTGGAGGCTCAAGCGGAAGCTCGTTTACTTATGTTTTCTCATACGAATATCTTATCTCCAGCTATTGGGGATCCCATTTGTGTACCAACTCAAGATATGCATATTGGACTTTACGTATTAACTAGCGGAAATCGTTGAGGTATTTGTGCAAACAGGTATAATTCGTTTAATTCCCGAAATTCTCACAATGAAAAAATTAGCAATAATAACTTGAAGTATATGAAGAAAAAAAGAACCCTTTTTTTTGTAATTCCTATGACGCAATTGGAGCTTATAGACAAAAAAGAATAAATTTTGATAGTCCTTTTTGGCTCCGGTGGAGAATAGATCAATGCATTATGTCTTCAAGAGAAGTTCTTATCGAAGTTCACTATGAATCTTTTGGTACCTATTATGAGATTTATGGGGATTATTTAGTAATAAGAAGTATAAAAAAAGAAATTCGTTGTATATACATTTGAACCATCATTGGTCATGTTTCTTTTTATCGAGAAACCGAAGAAGCTATACAAGGTTTTTCTCGAGCCGATTCATATGGTATCTAATCATATAAATGGTTAGTGTTGGTATCCACGCTAAGTCAACTAATGATACTGGTGTAAATTCAGGTCAACTAGCATCTTTTCAATTTTCTATGTGAATAAACATAAAGAAAAGGAAGTTTTCCAATCATTAACTCAAATCCATTGTCGAACCGAATAACACTGCGTGGAATATGGAGGTACTTATGGCAGAATGGGCCGATCTAGTCTTTCACAATAACGTGATAGGTGGAACTGCCATTAAACGACTTATTAGCAGATTAATAGATCATTTCAGAATGGCATATACATCACACATCCTAGATCAAGTAAAGACTCTAGGATTCCATCAAGCTACTGCTACATCTAATTCATTAGGAATTGATGATCTTTTAACAATACCTTCAAAAGTATAGATAGTCCAAGATGCTGAACAACAAAGTTCCATTTTGGAAAAACATAATCATTATGGAAATGTCCATGCAGAAGAAAAATTACGCCAATCTATTGAAATATGGTATGCTACAAGAGAATATTTGCGACAACAAATGAATTCCAATTTTAGGATGACTGGCCCCTTTAATCCAGTCCATATCATGTCTTTTTCAGGAGCTAGAGGAAATGCATCTCAAGTGCACCAATTAGTCTGAATGAGAGGATTAATGTCAGATCCACAAGGACAAATGATTGATTTACCCATTCAAAGCAATTTACGTGAAGGACTGTCTTTAACAGAATATATAATTTCTTGATATGGAGCCTGTAAAGGGGTTGTAGATACTATTGTACGGACATCAGAGGGTGGATATCTTACACGTCGACTTGTTGAAGTGGTTCAACACATTGTTGTACGGCGAACAGATTGAGGTACCATCCATGGGATTTCTGTAAACACCCGAAATGGAATGATGCCAGAAAGAATTTTGATACAAACATTAATAGGTTCACAGTGCATTGTCGTTAGAAATCAAGATATTGGAATTGGACTTATCAATCAATTCATAACTTTTCATACACAACCAATATTTATTGGAACCCCCTTTACCTGTAGGAATACGTCTTGGATCTGTCGATTGTGTTATGGGCGGAGTCCTATTCATGGGGACCTGGTAGAATTAGGAGAAGCTGTAGGGATTATTATTGGGCAATCTATTGGAGAACCGGGAACTCAACTAACATTAAGGACTTTTCATATTGGTGGAGTATTCACAGGGTGTACTGCTGAATATGTGCGAGCCCCCTCGAATGGAAAAATAAAATTTAATGAGGATTTAGTTCACCCTACACGGACACGTCATGGATATCCTGCTTTTATATGTAATATAGACTTGTATGTAACTATTGAAAGTGACGATATTATACATAACGTCATTATTACACCAAAAAGTTTTCTACTAGTTGAAAATAATCAATATATAAAATCAGAACAAGTGATTGCGGAGATCCGCGCGGGAACATATATTTTAAATTTGAAAGAGAGGGTTCAAAAACATATTTATTCTGACTCGGAAGGGGAAATGCATTGGAGTACCGATGTGTACCATACATCATAATTTATATATAGTAATGTACATATCTTACCAAAAACAAGTCATTTATGGATATTGTCAGGAAAGTCGTGCAGGTCTAATACAATCCATTTTTTACTTCGCAAGGATCAAGAACAAGTTACCATGGATTCACTTTCTAATGGAAAAACAAATATTTCGAATCTTTTAGAAAGGAATGATCAAGTAAAACATAAATTCAATACTTTTGGTACAAAAGAAAAGTGGATTAGCGATTCTTTAGTATTGAATCAAATCATATGTACATATCATTATGATTTAATGTATCCTGCTATTTTGAACGATACTTTTTATTTCTTGGCGAAAAGGCGAAGAAATAGATTTCTTATTCCATTTCCATTCCAATCGATTCAAGAACGAAAGAATGAACTAATGTCCCCTTCCAGTGTCTCCAATGAAATACCTATCAATGGTATTTTTCATGAAAATAGTATTTTTGCTTATTTCAATGATCCTCAATATAGAAGACAGAGTTCAGGAATTACTAAATGTACAACTATAGGAATTCATTCTATTTTTCAAAAAGAAGATTTCATTGAGTATCAAGGAATCGAAGAAGTAAAGCCAAAATACCAAATTCAAGTAGATAAAAAAAATTATTCCCGAAGAAGTGCATATTTTACCCGAATCTTCTTCCCTAATGGTACAGAATAATAGTCTTGTTGGAATAGGAACACCAATCACTTTCAATATAAGAAGTCGAGTAGGCGGATTGGTCCGATTAGAAAAGAAGAAAAAAATAGAATTAAAAATATTTTCTGGAAATATCCATTTTCCCGGAAAGATGGATAAGATATCCCAACACAATGCCATCTTGAGACCGCCTGGAATAGTAAAAAAAATGCAAGGAATCAAAAAAATTTAAAAATTGGATTTTTGTCCAATGGATCGCAACTACCAAGAAAAAGTATTTTGTTTTGGTTCGACCTGTAATTTTATATGAAATACCAGACAGTATCAATTTTGTAAAACTTTTTCCCCAAGATCTATTCCAGGAAAAGGATAATCTGGAACTAAAAGTTGTCAATTATATTCTTTATGGAAATGGAAAATCCATTCGGGGAATTTCCGACACAAGGATTCAATTAGTTCGGACTTGTTTAGTCTTCAATTGGGATCACGGGAAAAAAAGTTATTCTATTGAGGAGGCCCTAGGAATACTATTGTTATCATTTTTTGATACAAAAAGCCCCTTATCAGATTTGAACCGATGACATACGCCTTACCATGGTGTTACTCTACCACTGAGTTAAAAGGGAGGCGTTTGAGTAAATTCCCCAATATGGAATCAGCCAATATGTAGATGAGTTTAGTACATCTATTTGTTACTGCATATAGTTATTCGATATATATATATATATATATATATATATATATATATATATATATATATATATATATATATATATATATATATATATATATATATATATATATATATATATATATATATATATATATATATATATATATATATATATATATATATATATATATATATATATATATATATAGATATATGTACATAGATCTATTTTTTGTACATAGCAACTCATTAACGAACAAAAAATTAGATTTACAAGTATAGTGAAAAAAGAATTAATTCATATTGGATTTGATAAATAGGAATGAAATTTTTCAAAACCGATTTGAATTGAAGTCATCTTCATCATAACACGAAATTCATTTCATTGATACATGGACCACTAATTCCAATATTTCCGAATCTTTGATAAATGGATTCTATCCTGTCCCTCAACTCAATTCTTATTGATCTTCATCCTTTTTTACTCAATTTCCGGATTCATTCGCATTTTTTTATTTCCCAACTTAGTGTGAAATACAAATATACTCAATTTCATCTTCTTAACATTGAATGGCCCAATCTCAGGTTTTTAAATTGATTCTATAGGGTCTTAACAAGAAAATTCTTATTAATAATAAAAAAAACAGCAGTAAAATCTTATTACATACACAATACAAAAAAAATGAAGTAAATAATAGAATATTCAGGAGGCCGGTAAGGATCAAGAGAAAAGACGAGTGAGCCGACTTAAAATTTTGAGATTATAAACACTAAGAATAGCTTTTGGATTTCTATTTTTTTTATCTTCAAAAAATACTGGAATAATAGGATTAAGTGAAAAAGTTTAGGACTTTCTATTACACGTATCTGTTTTCCAAATAACCAGTATTTAAGTATTTTTGTTTGAGCTGTACGAGATGAAATTCTCATATACGGTTCTCAGGGGGGGTCCCTTGGTTTACCTATCTCAATAAAGTCTATGATTGGTTCGAAGAACGTCTTGAGATTCAGGCAATTGCCGATGATATAACTAGTAAATATGTACCTCCTCATGTCAATATATTTTATTGTTTAGGAGGAATTACACTTACTTGTTTTTTAGTCCAAGTAGCGACAGGTTTCGCTATGACTTTTTATTATCGTATAACCGTTACGGAGGCTTTTGCTTATGTTCAATATATAATGACTGAGGCTAACTTTGGTTGGTTAATTCGATCAGTTCATCGATGGCCAGTAAGTATGATGGTCTTAATGATGATCTAGCACGTATTTCGCGTGTATCTCACTGGTGGTTTTAAAAAACCTCGCGAATTGACTTGGGTTACAGGTGTAGTTTTGGGTGTATTGACTGCATCCTTTGGTGTAACAGGTTATTCCTTACCTTGGGACCAAATCAGTTATTGGGCAGTCAAAATTGTAACGGGTGTACCCGATGCTATTCTTGTAATAGGATCCTCGGTGGTAGAGTTATTGCGCGATAGTGCTAGTGTGGGACAATCTACCTTGACTCGTTTTTATAGTTTACATACTTTTGTATTACCTCTTCTTACTGTCGTATTCATGTTAATGCACTTTCCAATGATGTGTAAGCAAGGAATTTCTGGTCCTTTATAAAGAATATGAATCATAGAAATTTGTAATCAATCATTTTGGGGAGGAGTAATAGTATTTCATTGCTACAAATATGCATTATTTTTCTTTAATAAGACATGTATTTGGATATTTACCTTCAACTTAACAAAATAAATTGGATTCTTTATTTGACATACACAAATAGTTGAAGGGAACTCTGCGAAAAAAGAATGGATTATGGGAGTGTGTGACTTAAACTATTGATTGGGCCATGCAGATATATGACTTGATCTTATCTTCCACATTTGAATTCACAATGAAATGTGTCTTTGTTCTAACCACCGCGTCAATCCTCTATAGAGGATAGTCCGGTTCGCTTGATGATAATCTTTTCTATGATCAGACTCAATCATATCCTGCATGAACAGGCTCCGTAATATCCAGTAAAAAAAGGAATATGATATAATCTAGATTATGTTGTATGTATTTCATTAAACTTACATAGTATGGAAATGCATTCATTTCCTATGCATTGACTCAATTTATGATACTATCGGAGTTAAACAAGTAGATCTAAAGAAAAAGGGGGGTTGTATTCTATTAGTAACAAGTAAATCCTTTCTATGTCAAAAATTCATTTTTCAAGGTACAACAGGCGAAAGGTTTGAGATCACCCAGAAAGAACTTTTGATTTTTATTTTAAAACTTACTTGGGTGAAAAGCATTTACTTAAAAATAAGAACTTAATTTTTTGCAATGGATAGTTGTAATTTCGGAAAGAAAAAAAGAATTCAACCCGTTTTATTACATAGAATCATGATATATGAGTGACTCACATCTACACTCACATCTACAAAATTTATATGTCTGCATTCAGTTGGTTTGATTCGTGCTCGAGCCGGATGATGAAAAACTATCATGTCCGGTTCTTTCGGAGGATGGATCTATAAGAATTCACCTATCCCAATAAAAAAAAACCTGACTTGAATGATCCTGTATTAAGAGTAAAATTGGCCAAAGTGATGGGTCATAATTATTATGGCGAACCTGCATGGCCTAATAAACCTTTATATATTTTTCCAGTAGTTATTCTGGGTACTATTGCCTGTAACGTAGGCTTAGCGGTTCTCGAACCATCAATGATTGGGGAACCCACAGATCCGTTTGCAACTCCTTTTGAAATATTGGCCGAATGGTATTTTTTCCCGTATTTCAAATACTTCGTACCGTACCCAATAAATTATTGGGCGTTCTTTTAATAGTTTCAGTACCGGAGGGATTATTAACAGTACCTTTTTTGGAGAATGTTAATAAGTTCCAAAACCCATTTCGGCGTCCAGTAGCAACAACCGTCTTTTTGATTGGTACTGTCGTGGCTCTTTGGTTGGGTATTGGAGCAACATTACCTAGGGAAAATATCATGACAGGTGTATTATGTTGTGTATCTAGGGAAAATTCACTTTGAAATGACTAATACCTAGATACATCTATTTCATTTTAGACCTATTCTGAATATATTGATTTGTGCTAAAGATTCAAATTTCATATTTGAACCTTTCTTTTTATAAAAATGAAAGATTCAAAAAAAATCCAATAGATTCTCAATTTATACAAAATGCTTTTCGATTTGTAAAATGTTTAATATATTTTTTAAATCTTCTACGCGAAAATGTTCAATTTTGATAAGGTCTTCTTGACTCTTATTCAAAAGTTCCAATACTGTATGTATATTGGACTTTTTAAAACAATTATAGATCCGGGGAGGCAATTCTAATTGGTCTATAAAAATAGATTTCAATGTAATTTCTTTTTTATTTTTCCTTAGTTTATCCTTAACCAATCTATCATGAAAAGTAAAAAGGGGCAAAGTAATTTTGTGTTGATTGTTTTCAAAATCTAAGTTTTCTTCTTCTGCATGTAAAAAAGGAATAAATAAATCAATCAAATTCTGGGAGGCTTCATAAAGTGCTTCCTTAGGAGTTAAACTTCCATTTGTCCATATTTCGAGAAATAGTATCTCTTGTTTTTCATTTCCATTCACATAAGAATGAATACTATGATTTTCATTTCTAACAGGCATGAATACAGCATCTATAGTATAACTTCCATCTTGAACGTTGTTTAGTGTTTTTATACGATATCCCCGCTTTCTATCAATTTGTAATTCAATACAAGCAGTTACATATCCATGACCTTTGAAATAAATATACGCGTCCCGAGTTCCATACAGATTACTTCTCAATACAATTTCTTTTAAATTCATTAAAATTTCATGTATTGATTCTTGAATACCTATTATGGTAGAATATTCATGTGGTATTTTCTCAGATTTTGCACGTGTGATACATGTCCCCTCTATTTCTCCGAGCAAAATTCTTCGCATTGCAATGCCTATTATATTTGCTTGACCTTTCATAAGTGGAGACATAATAAAGCGTCCATAATAAAGATGCTTATTGTATACCCTTGATTCAACACACTTCCACTGTAGTGCCTGAGTAAATACTTTTAGTTTTTCTCGAATCATAGTAATATATTTTTATGAAACTCTTGATTTAATTGTTTATTTCTCTTGAAATCTTTTTCTTTAATGTTTATTGTTAGTTTTACACACGTCTTTTTTTAGGAGCCCTACATCCATTATGTGGCATAGGGGTTACATCCCGTATAACCCTTACTCGTATCTGACTTCCAAAATAGCTCTTAATGGCACCTCTCTTCCTAGACCGGGACCTTTTATCATGACGTCTTCTCGTTGCATGCCTTGATCGACTACTGTTTGAATAGCATTTCCCACTGCGGTTAGAGCGGCAAATGGTGTCCCCCTTCGTGAACCCTTGAATCCACATGAACCGGCGGAGGACCAAGAAATCACCCGACCTCTTACATCTGTAACAGTCACAATGGTATTGTTAAAACTAGTTTGAATATAAATAACCCCCTTTGGTATTTTACGAGGATGCTTACGCGAACCAATACGTCCAGTTTTACGTGAACCAATTTTTGGTATAGATTTTGCCATGTTTTATTATTTTAAAAAATATAAGTCCGAAATATATGGATATATCCATTTCCTGTCAAAAAACGATTTTTGACTATTTTCTAACTAGTTATTCTATTGTATTCTCTAATTCAATTAATATAGAATACCATTTTCAAATATCAAGCAATAAGCAATTATATTTATGAGAATACTTATAACTATAGACTCTATTCGAATATAGAATCTATATTTTTAGATTTAGTATTTAATAAAATGGAATATTCATAAGATTTTTTATTTGAATTGTAATAGAATTCAAATAAAAAATCTTATGAATAGAAATCCCTTTTTTCTTTTAATATTATCCTTGTCTTTGTTTATGTTTTGGATTGGAACAAATTACTATAAGTCGACCTCGCCTACGGATCAATCGACATTTTTCATAAATTTTACGAACAGAGGCCGCCACTTTCATATTGTTCACTCCTTAAATTAAATTGAATATCAATTTTATAGATTGCAAGAAAATAGGTTTTCCTTACATTTTGAACTTCTGTGTTCCTCCTAAAAAATATGTTGAAGTTATAAAATAGTCTAATCGAATGGAGTCAGCTATACTTCCTTTTTTGGTCGTATCCAGTGGAAACATAACCTAGAATTTGATTTGAATTCTATTTCTCTAAAGCAACCTGCAACGTACCCTCAGAAGTTGTTGATTAATTTAATCTTTATTAATTTTCATTTCTATTCTAGTTAAAACCTCTTCCCATATTCACTAATGTATCATGAATAATATTAGAAATCTGTTTTTTCTCTACTCCCTCCATTCACAATACTGTTGGCTCTAAGTTTTTTTTTCATATAATTCAGATATCGGCAAAATTAGCATTACCATATATAACATAAAACTTCTCCCCCGATTTTTTCTAATCGAGCCTCTCGATCTGTCATTATACCCCTAGAAGTAGAAAGAATTACAATCCCCATCCCTCCTAAAACTTTCGGAATTTTTTTATACTTAGAGTATATTCGTAGACAAGGTGTACTGATCCTTTTTAAATTTAAAAAAGTTTTATAGGATCCTTTCCTATTTCTTCTATATTGTAGAGTTAAAACTAAAAAGTATTTGTTGCTTTCTCGATGTTTTCTGACGTTTTCAACAAAACCCTCTCGTAAAAGAATTTTTACACAATGTTTTTTGTGATATTAGTAAGTGGTATTTTAACAGTTCTTTTTTTATTCATGTCAGCATTGCGTATCAAGGTTAGTATATCAGCGATAGTATCTTTACCCATGATATATTTTTGCTCCTTACTTTCGATATAATCAACGTGCTCCCGTTTTTTGTTTTTTATTTTTTTATTCAATCAAATCTCTCATATTGAATATGAGAATAGAATAATACTCTATATGTATAGAAAATTTGATTGTAATTAGGATAATCTAAATATCCGAATATAGAATATTCTAAAACTAAAAAAAGATAGAAATAAAATGAACGAATGACCTATTCGAAACTATATAAATAATCTTATATTGAATTCGAATTCTATTTTTTTATACAAATAGAATTCGATTTTTTATTTTGAATATATTGACTTGAATATAGAATATATATTTCATTCGTATTCTAATCTATTTCCTATTCATTCAAGTCATAAATAATATATCTATATCATGATCTCTTATTATAATACCTCAGGTGCTAATGAAACTATTTTAGTGAAATTTAACTGTCTCAATTCTCGGGCTATTGCGGAAAAAATACGAGTTCCTTTTGGATTTCCTTCTTTATCTATGAGAATCGCCGCATTATTATCATACTTTATAATTATACCATTACGGCGTTTTAGTTCTTTACAAGTACGTACAATTACAACTCTGATGACTTGAGATCTTTTTAAAGATGAATTTGGCACTGCTTTTTTTATTACAGCAACAACAATGTCACCAATATAAGCATACCTTCGATTACTAGCTCCTATGATTCGAATACACATCAATTCGCGCGCTTCACTATTATCGACTACATTTAAATAGGGTTGAGGTTGAATCATAT